TACTACTACTACTACTACGGTTGCCGCTGCGACAGCTGTCAGATCGATTACAACCCCGACTATCAACCATGAAGACGACGACCAGAAATCCCACTACGATGACCAGCCACGACCAGCCCCACGAGAAACGATAAAACCGGTAACATCAATTATTCCCAGGGGCAGGCGGCACGATCTGCAGCTCTGCGAAAAGCTGCAATGAGAGGGGAGTGTGCAGGAGCACCTGCGGTGTTGCGGGTCTAACATGTTCGGTTTTGTTGAAAGTAGGATGCAGCGCCTAGGGTTCAGAGTCCTGTATTCGGTTCAAGCTTCAAGGGTTTAGAGTTTAGGGGTAGGGCTTTAGTTGCTGTAGGACTTACGGCTGCTGATTTCTGGTTAAGGTTTCATGTGCTCGCCGTTTCTACGATTTCTTTGTGCATACTCTTTCCTCGCAGCATTCGTCTGATAAGTGCCAAAGCGAAATTGTGCTTACATTCAACAGTCTGCTAGCTGACAACACAGGCTACTGCGAAAAGTGGCGATACCTTCTCATTTTGCCGTTCCGGTATGATTCATGGTATATAATATTGGCACAACCTTGTTGCCTAGTTGCATTCATGGGGTCCGGTGCACTGCTTGGTTCATGTGCAGGAACCCTCCATCCTTACGTTGGCACCTTAGAGGCCCAGCCACCTGCATGACTGGTTACTTTAGTTTAGGGTTTAGGGTTTNNGGGTTTAAGGTTTAGGGTTTTTGGGTTTAGGGTTTTATGGTTACTTTACACCCATTCCCTCGCAAAGGTCAGCAACATAACAAGTTCTTGATGACCCCTATAACATATAGCCGAAACCAAAACCCAAGAAAGAAGGCTACACAAGCAACTACTAGCCGGTTCTGCTTTTCGATGCACACCGGCTCGTATCTTCGGCCCCGGAAACATGCGAGTTGCTTAATATAGGGCCTCAATAGGGTATACTATAATCACGATGACAACCCCAAACCTTATTCGAATTATTAAGGCCCCTACATTGACTGGCCTTCTAGGGTCACTTCGTTCGGGGGGTCCAAGGTGCCTGCTTGGCATACTTAAAAGCCAAGAAACTTGGTAAGTAGGCTATAAGTGTGCCTTCATTGTTTAGGGTTTCGGGTAAGTACATGTATAGGTACCCTAAACGGCGCCACCCCATCTACAACCCTACTAATGCCCGACTTGCTAAGTCCCCTAAGCCCTAAACCCTTTAAAACCCTAAAGCCCTACAACCCTAAACCCTCAAGCGCTAAACCCTAAAACCCTAAAGCCCTAAAACCCTAAACCCTAAACCCTAAAACCCTAAACCCTAAACCCTAAAACCCCTAAACCCTAAACCCCCCAAACCCTAAAACCCTGAAGCCCTAAAACCCTAAACCCTAAAACTCTAAAGCCCTAAACCCTAAACCCTAAAACCTAAAACCCTAAAACCCCAAAACCCTAAACCCTAAAACCCTAAAACCCTAAAACCAAA